ATCAGATCATCAAAGCCATCAAAGATCATCATTACCATTGCCATCCAACAACAGCTACAAGTTGTGTGTCCTTGCTTCAAAACATTATCGACTTCATGGGATAAAGCAACCTCTGCAGCCAGACCCTTCCTCCGGGAGCTGGGATCCGGGGGCCCTCCGCCCCCGCACCGAGGCCTGGGGCCCTGCAGCAGCAGCGGCCCTATGGAGGGTGGCAAGAAAAGGCAGGGGAGAAAGGAGGCAAATTTAAACCATTGGTGGCAAAAAGGCTGCTCACTGGGGCAGTCAGGTCAGCCCTCGGTGCTCCTCACCGCCCTCCGTGGGCCAATGCCGCCGCTGCTGCTGGTGCCCGACACTGCCTCCCACTCCCGAACCTGCACCGGTGGCTGCTCGCCAGGGACCCAGCAGCAGCAGTGGCATCAGCCTGCAGAGGATGGCGAGGAGCGCCAAAGACCGATGTGGCCGCCCTGGCAAGCAACCGCCGGTGCCGGTGTCAGAGCTGGTTTTTGGTTTTTAAAAACTGTTCTTGGTGGGTTTTGCAGGGCTGGGGGAGGGTTATGTTTCTGTCATGTATTGCTGTTTGTTTTTTGGTGATTTTTTGTGTGGTGGGGGCTTGCTCTGTTTATTTTTATTTTATTTTTGGAGGGTTTTTTTGGGTTTTTTGCCAGAACGGATTCATCACGTTCCCATGAATTCCTATGTGAATGTATGCTTCAACTTACGACCATTTTGACTTATGTTCCATCTTCTGGAATGGATTATGGTTGTAAATCGAGGCACCACTGTATTTTAATTGCTATTCTTAATAAGTGTAGTGTCATTTAATAATGCACAAAAATAATATATGAACATTGTAAGCTAAAATACTTGTCAGGACGTCTATGCAATACAAGCAGTTTTCTTTCTACAGTCTCGCAATACTGTGTTCACAAATTTATTCATGCAATTCATGCTGCAGACTGTGAACACATGAGTTTGAACCAGTCTCCTCCTTTACTTATTGACAGTTTTATGCTGTTCCATTTGTAATTATAAAAAGAATCTCTCTGAGCAAGTTCATAGAAGAATCCAAGGCAGCCAACATTCACAAAAATGAGGTTTTATGAGATTGAGAGGATTTTTTTTAACTCAAAAGCTGACGTTTTCAATGAGATTGACTAGGCCAACAAATATGAAGAGTGACTTTCTAGCAGAATGGTCTCTGCCAATAGCTTATTTTGAAAATCCTGTTCAATCTTACATGCGCTGTGAAAATACATGACTATATTGGCTGTATTGTACCGTTCTTCAAAGTATAATTGTAATGAGAACTGTTGCATAAAGATATGAGCTTACAGGGATGTTGGTTTCGCATCACTTCTTGGCCCTGAAAGAGATGTGCAAATGTTTTTCTGTACAGTATTCTACTGCCTATCTGATTTTTTTCAAAAGAAATACATGGGGTTCCAAAAGGCACAACATTCTTTCCTGCAGTCACGTTCCCTCTGACATGGAATGTTAAGCAGGAGAGGTGCACTTAATCCACTCCCCTGCAACACAGTCCTATAAATGAGGAGTTCCAATCTTTTGAATTGTGCATCTCACCAATTCTTCTATTAATGAGTCTGAGATTAAAGATGATAGCAAAAAAGAAAGAAAGAAAAGAAATAAAAAAGGAACCTACTTTTTCTCCTGAGAAGCACATTTATGTTTACAGACATTATTTTATTATCTTTACCATTTATGATGAATTCTAAGATTAAAAAAACTACTGGGGATGGGGAAAAAAGGAATCCAAAATTACTAGTACCAGGTCCAAAATTTGGACTGTGACCAGCCCACCTGGCTAATCACTTTTCCACCTCTCTAGTCTCTTTCCTGGGCTATCATTAAGTCCAAAACTTAAGAGCCAAAGTGATTCAATTCTTTTTTTTAAAAGGTATTTTATTTTAAGAAGCGTAACAGTTACATGGTACAATTCTTAGTCCTGCAGTTTCTTGTGTTTTAAGAACCAACTTTATAACTATAACAAGTTATTTCTTAACAATGTAACTATGATAGATAATTCTCTTTTGGAAACACAAACTATTTTGCTGGCAAACTATGTATCAACCTCCCTCCAGCCGTCTGACTGTTAACTCCCCAACAGACTCCATTTTACTTAACTTCAGCACACCTGGTGTGAGTCGTGATTGGCTTTGCCGCAGCCAATTGGCTTCTCCTTGCTCACTGAGTGAGGCTGTCCATCACAGGGACAATACATGGGAGGTAAATACAGTAGAAGTTGAGACATTGCACCGTAACAAAGGACGTGGGGATGGAGAGAAAGTGAATGCTTACGAATAGTTCTGAAAACCGAGTATCCCACATAGACCACACTTCTCCGACTCACCAGTGGCATACATAGCAACTGTTGAGAACCACTGCCATGTACCTATTCCTGTTTGATTTTGGAAGCTAAAAGGGGTTGTGCTTGGTTGGAAACCACCAGAGAATACCAGCCATCCCTATAAAGGAATCCTACCTGAAACTATTGCTAGTCAGAGTTGACAACACTAGAAGAACTCAGGGGCTAACTCAGTACAAAGGTGCATCTGTCACCATGAACACAATGAATCACACTGAATTTCAGAAGCTAAGCAGGGTCAGGCATGCACAGTATTTGGATGTACTATCAAGTAATATCAGGAACCTCCAGGTAGGGCCTGAAAGGAATCCTCCCTGAAACTCTGGATGGCTGCTGGCAGTCACAGTTGACAACACTGGGCTACATGGAGCAACTACATGGAGCAATTCAGCTTCCTGTGCTCCTATTAATCAGAAGGGCATGACGATTGTGGGTAATGGTTAGGTATTTGACAGGAGAAAAAGGGGTGGAGAATATGCATGGAAATTAATTCTGACAAAAATAACACCTGCTCCAACCCATTATATAAAGATAGTTGAAAGATAAGCAAGGGGAAATCCATAGGCAGTGACTACAGAGGAACAACAATGCATACAAATGCAGAAAAAAGTATTGTCATTTTGAGAGCCAGCTGGCATTAACAACCTTATACAGAAAGAGTTACAAACTTGTATCAAAGAGAGAGAAATACCAGAGAAAGATAGAGTGAAGGAGAGAGACAGAGAGAGAACATCCTTGTTGACATAAGTGGCGTATAGTAGGAATTGATGTAGGATTTCACAGTGTAGGGTTTCACAGATTCTTAAGACATTAGAAATGCCAGGACACTCTTTGAATTACAGTGGACCCTTGACTTACAGACGGCTTGACTTACAGACTTTTTGAGTTACAGACTTCTCTGGCCGCAAAATTTAGGTTTGACTTGCAGGCTGAGATTTGACTTACAGACCAGAAAAAAAACCAAAATGGAACAAAAACGGCCTGTTACGGGATTAATCGGTTTTCAATGCACTGTAGGTCAATGGAGACTTGACTTACAGACTTTTTGACTTGAGAACCGCCTTCCAATACGGATTAAGTTCTCAAGTCAAGACCCCACTGTACCTAAAAGTTACTGTTTCAGAGGAAAAACCATTGGAGAACTACACTTGAAGGAAAAACAGCTAATATAAGGTACATACAGTTGCTGGAAACCCACTCAAAAAGATTAATCACCAGACAAGGTTTCCTCACAAATCAGGAAATTACTTTGTAGATTTACAAACAATAATTGATAATTACAATTACTCAGTCTGATCATCTTGTTCCTTCACTAATGAACATTGTCACTTTGCTCCCTACAGTAGGACCTTTGTCTCTATGGGATCAATATTTGTGGATTCACTTATACATGGTTTGCCACAGCCCTATGTAGGCATCCTTCAGTCTTGAGAGATGATAGTAATGTGCTCTGAATAGAGGTCTTGGAACAACGTCTAGTGTGGCTGAGAAGGCCAATTTGAGAGTGACAATCCCTTTCACCCCGAAGACAAATACAATCTGTACCCTGTCCAGCTCCCTGATTTCGCTAGTTTCAGGACTGCCTTTTTGCTTCGGCCTGCTGAACAAGTGTCTTTTCAAATTGGGAGGAGCCATGATGCGCCGCCTGCATGGGTTATAGGTTATAGAGCTAGCGCTTGTCTGAAGACAACCCTCCTTGGTCATGTGGCCAACATGTCTAGACATGGAACGCCGTTTACCTTCCCACCGAGGTGGTACCTATTTATTTACTCAAATTTTTGCATTTTGCATGCTTTCGAACCGCTAGGTTGGCGGGAGCTGGGACAAGCGACGGGGGTTCACTCCGTTGCGTGGATTCGATCTTACGACTGCAGGTCTTCTGACCTTGCAGCACAGAGGCTTCAGCGGTTTAACCCGCAGTGCCACCACATCCCTCTATGGGTTGGAAACGGAGATGAGCACCGCCGCCTAGAGGCGGACACAACTGGACAAATTGTCAAGGGGAACCTTTACCTTTACCTTTTTAAGAATGCTTCAGAGTTACATTATTACATTCCCAAAATGTGCTCTTAAGCAGTCTTAAGATTTACCAAATTCCTTTCAAGCAGGTCTGAAAAAATCAAACTGTGACAGAATAAAATTAAGTATCTGAAACTTGCGTTGTCCGAACTTGCATGCTAGAAAAACTGAACCAGCTAAATGGATATTAGTCATGCAGCATAGGAGACATCTTTTTAAAAAGTTTGCAACTACAGTATAAGAGTCCTATCAATGTGACTTAAAACTTATGTCATTTCAGCTGCAAGGTTCAGAATCAATCCCAACGGCACATATCAATGTGGAAAAGATAATGAATCTATATGTTAGGAGAAGGGCGCAACAACGAAAGCACAGCGAAAACCCTGTCAGTTATTCAATCCCTTCTTTTTACCCTATTGGAAATCGAAAGCTTTCGACGTGAAAAAACATTCCCAGCAAATACCGAGTTTCAGAGGAACAGAATTTCCACTGAATTTCTAAAACAGCCTGTAGTACTGTACTGCCTAGGCGCTACAAGGGTTAAAGGCGAAGCGCTGCAGTGCATGATGGAAGTTGTAGGCATCACTGATTCCGGGTTGCGCAAACCAATTACAAGCTCTTTCTCCTCCTTGTAATGGCCGCTTCTAGGCAGGTAATACAAGTTTGCTACATGGCCGTTGAAGGCTGATACCTAAAGGATTTGTCTCCGGAAAGTCGTATATAAGCTCTGTAAGATTCAGATTGCTCTGTCGCCTTTGAAAACCAGATATATTTGAATTAGATTCTTTCCAGGAGACTTAAGACTTCGTCTTGGCATGTTGTGGTTTACTTCTGCTTTTGGGGCGTGACTTTTCAACCTGCGATCTGACTTTAAAAAAAAAAGCATACTTACTCCTGGAATCAATCCAGGCACTAATTTGATCCAACAAGGATTTGGACTGGTACGGTCAAGTGAGCTTCCTTTTCTGTAATTTTTTTCTCTCCCCCCCCCTTCTTTACTAGGTATTGTTCTCTACGTTTGCACAGTTTCCGAGAGCCCAGCGCTGACGATCCCACAAAACGTCCCCAAAACCGGTCCTTCCAGGTAAGATGTTGGTGGCGTTAGAATAGGGACACTTGCGGGATTTCTGATGTGAGGATGTAATTTTTCCGCTGATAGAGGAATAAACGTGTTGGTCTTCTCTTGGGAAACAGCAGATTCCTGTACCGCTTTGAAAACTTGACAAAATAATGATTGTAGCCTTTAGAAAACAAAACAAAAAACTACAGAGCCCCCCTTGCAGCCTTCTGTAGACAAGCTGGAGACTTACCCATAGATCTCAATCTACTTTCTTCCTGCTGGTAGAGAAATGGTAGAATCATGGGCCAATACCTGCATTATGTCTATGATGTTGGAAGCCACTAGAAGTGTGTCTCCTACTCCACAAGGTGGCTCCATGCACATGAAGAGTCATTGTAACAGCTGTTTTCTTGTGATTGTGGTGCTGCCAGGGGTGACACCTACAATATGTGAATCAACCCTTGGAATTGGAAGAGGTGTTGGTGTGAGATTTCCTCAGATATGAGTGAGAGATACCTGGCCAGGCTTTCCTTCCAAACATGCAAACAGGCAGTTTACGGATTTGTTGAATAGTATTTGTGAGTAGATGAATTCTTACGACTTTCGCCTCAAACTGCTTTGTGTTGCTGTCCCTATTTCATTGGCAAGAAATCTCCTGATTCCATGTCTTCATCTGACACGGTGCTAAAGTAGAGAATACCCACAGATTCATTGACCTGGTTCAGATATATTGTCTTAATCTGAACACCAGTGTATTCCTGTCTTGCCTGTCTTGATTTGCAAGCTTTAGTGCTGACAACTGTGGCTTGTTTAAACGAGAGGTTCCTCTACGTCCAAACTGGAAAGTTTTTGTTTAATGCCAATCCAAGTTCATAAACTCAACAATAACCAGAGATTAAAGAGGTTCCCCATGTTTGGTTGCATAGGAAGTGGTGGCTTTAAAAAAAATATCAAAGCTAATAAGGTGAGGGATGCTTTGATCTCAAAAATGTATTAATGATTTCCTTGTATCAGTCTGAAATTATGTCTGAATTGGACTGCAAAGAGGTAAAGCGCGTGCTTACGAAGGAACTTGTCAATAAGTATTGAACAATGCAGGAAGTGTTTTATTAAGCTATAATTAGTGTATTATATAAAAAATAACTAGAAATGCACAACTGAGCAATCTTTCATTCTGTATTCTAGTTTCCTTTTCTAATTGCATCATTCTTTCAGTTTCTAATATTCAGGTACTGTATAAGTGCTGATACATCAGCAGTGAGAAGCATCAGTATGCTCAGTGGGATTCTGTAGTTTGCAGAAACACATACCCACACACACCAAAAAAAAAAAGCCTGAAATAAGGTATTCTCTGTAGGAGAATAATCTCCATGTCTAACCAAAAGAGAATTGTTCATGTTCATTGGCCATGAGGTACTGCCTGCAGGGGCACTCTATGTCTGTGAGGGACAGCATATACAACAGTATGCTCCACCTCTAACTTGGAATGTTCCTGTCAAATCACAGACAGCTTCTTATCAGCATCTCAAAAGGACTAGGCTGATACAGGTGCATCCAGTGTACGTTGGACCATTTGGTACATGGTAGTCAAGTATACTGAGAGGTTTGACAAAGTTTCTATCTTGACTTAACCTCTCTTTTTATGTTTTAGATAACATCTGAAGTACCAGTTCTTCTCTCTATCAAGTCCTTCATTCAAGGCCAGCCATGATCGGGAACATGGCTACTCCTGGAAAAGCTTCACAGCTGTTTTTGGTGCTTTTCTCTCTACTGATTGGGCTTCCTGTTGTGGAAGCTTTGGATATGGGAGATGCGTTAGCCCTCTTGCTGGGTATGGTTCTCAGCTGCATTGGATTCTGTGTGTGCCTGGGCTTATATGCAAGAAAACGAAATGAAGAGTTATGACATTAAGGAAGATATGGCACCGTCAAGTATATCTGTCTTGTTGGATGGTATTGCAGTTTAAATGTGAGTTTCTGGATGTTCCCAGTACTGGAAAGTGGACTGTACTTGATCAGAAGATTTTGGAAAATGAGTTTTATAGGAAGATAATTATTTTGTGTTAGTAAGCTGTTACATTGATAGAGTAACTACTTGTTTTGATCGAAGAGTAAAACTTAACAGGATAAACGTGCATAGAAAATTGTTAACTGAGGTGCAGTGAGGAATACCTTGAGGGAGAAGAGGTGGCCTGGGTTGAGGTTAGCGTGCAAAAATGCTGTATTTTTACCCTTAAACCTGCCTACATTGCTTAGCTTCCTGTGATGAAACATATGTCTATTCTCACCTTTCCCTAGATAAAGCTAATGTATTTGGGGGATAAGTTGAAGTGTCCTAATCATGTGTTCGTTTTGGATCTTCTTTGCTGTAACTGCATTTGAACAGTTGGGCCATTACCTCCACAATTATTTGGCAAATGATCTAAAGAGTGCCATTCACTAAGATTGTGTCCTTCATCAGCTTTGTTGAAATGAACAGGAAGCACACAAAAGGATGGCTTTTTGCCTAGTATTCTTCCTGTTTATTTCAGTAGAGCTTGAGTGAAAATGCCTTTCATAAAGACATAAAACCTCTAAATTTTTAAAAGAGTTTCTACATGTTTAAGTCACATTGAATTGCAATATTTTCTAGATGGGTCTCTTCACTGCATTCTTTGCAGGGCTTTTAATAAACTGTGGGACATGCAAAAGTATTAAAAGGTATTTCAAAGGTATTCAATGAGGTGAACCCATTCAAATGCTTTATTCTTGTTCTGCCAGCCTAACCAAATCAATAAACTCCACAAGTTGTGTGGTTTAAATGGTAGCATCCAAGGTCTTTTGTTCTTGGCTTTTGTGCTTAATTCTCCAGTGACTGAGCACCAAGCAGTTCAGAGAAAACCTCCCTGAATTCATTTATGAGTCCAGTTGAGACCCATGATAGGAAGAAAAAAGAAGTAGAGAAATATTGGAACATGCAGGAATAGAGTTCAGTTATTGCTTTCATCTGCTTGACAATGAATCCAAATATGGCACAATATATGTAAGTCAGAAACAAGTAACAACAAGGATGATCAAGGGACTGGAAACCAAGCACTATGATGAAAGACTGAAAGAACTGGGCATGTTTAGCTTTGAAAAAAGATGGCTGAGAGGAGATATGATAGCCCTTTCAATACCTGAAGGATAGTTATACAGAAGAGGGGCAGGATCTGTCTTCGATCATTCCAGAGGACAAAACATAATAATGGGCTTAATACAGGAAGCCAAATTTCAGCTGAATATCAGGAAAAATTTCTTAACCGTTAGAGCAGTATGATAATGGAATCAGTTACCTCAGGAGGTGGTGAGCGCTCCGGTGCTAGAAGTATTCAAGAGAAAATTGGACAACCATCTGTCAGATTAACTTTGATTTTGATTCCTGCATTGACAGGGGATTGGACTCCATTATCCAACTCCATTATTCTGTGATTCTAAGTAATGTGTTATAGAGAAAATACCACTTCACATTCAGTCCTCGGTCCTAAGAGCAAATGTATTTTCTTGAAAATTGGATGAAACCTTGTTCTTTTGCAAAAGGTCAGCTGTATCCTGAGAAGCACAACAGTGACCACCAACATAAAGAAGAAGAATAAACTAAGAACACATAGAGCTGCAGTACCTACACCATGAATTTTCTCTCAGTGAGTTTGTCTAGCACAGCAGTGGGCGACTGGTCTGTTTTGTTTTGGGTTTTTTTTTGCTGATAACTCATCAGCCCTAGCTGGAATAGCCAGTTCTGAGTCTTTTTGTCAAGTAAATTGGTACATGCCAGAGATTTTTTGCAAAACCCACCATCATCAAGAGACAGGATGGGAGGAGTCTTCCTTTAATTTGAGTTGCTACTGGTAAAATCCAGCCCATAAAATCTCAACCTTCTTAAGAAGTTCTGTTTGCTAGAAGTCTCTCCTGGCTGTGATTCAATATAACAGTATTTAACTGTGGTCCGCAGACCCCAATGTCCTCACAGGAGTTCCATGAAGGCGTGAAGAAATATTTTGATCATTTTTAATTAAAATAGAATGAATGCATGAAAGAAAGAAAATGTAGAAACAAATCTTAATTTGCCTTGCTTTGTATAAAATTTGGCTTTTTTTAACCTACTGCCTCCATTACAAATGAAAAAAGTAAAAATCAGTTATGAAAATAACTGTTTGATAGCAAACAACTGATATTTCTGCACAATGAGAAAATGCCAGTCAATTATACTGCCTAGCTGAGAGACAGCATGTGACATTTCTTGCTACTGTGCAGATAGGAGCCGTGGAAAGAGAGAGCCAGAGTCTGTCTATGTCAGTGTGAGTGTTCAGATGGACTTGTTGATTGTGTTTCTTCGATTTCTGCTAATAAAACTGTTTGGTCAGTGTCGGGTAAAGTGACTTTTCAGTATTGCAGTGAATTTCATAACAATGCATTTTGGCTGAGCCTTGGAATGGATCAGTGGCTGAGTTTGAAACGTAAAAGAACTTATGATGATGATTAGCAAAATGAAGCTTCTTCCAGTCAACGTTAAAAGTGCTGCCATTATAACAAAGAATATCTGTCGATTGACTTCATGTGTACAGGTCCCAAAGACAAACAACTACCACAGTATGCGTTGTGTTACAAGTTATTGTCCGACGAGGCCATGAAACCATCAGAATTGAAGACATCTCAATACTAAGCGTAAAGTATATGCTGCAAAGAGCATCTTTTTTTTTCAAAAGTAAGGAGCGTGAGCTTTGGGAAAGTAAAATGGTAAAAAAGACTGCAACTGGTTGTAACACTGAAAATGCATTGAGGGCCTCATTTAAGTTTCTTAACTAATAACACAACTGGAAAATCATGTACAATGGCTGAAGAGCCTATATTACCTGCTGCAAAAATCATGGTTTCTGCATTGATCAACGAGAAAGCTGCCAAAGAACTTTCCTTAATACCTCTGTCAAATAAGACAGTTGAGAAGTGAATCAATGGTTTGTCAGCCAATGTCAAGGAACAATTAGAAAGAATCCGTGTGTCCCCCTATTTTGCAATGCAATTGGAAAAAGCATAGACATAACAAAGTGATCTTACTATGCTGCACAAGAGAAATGTTTTCAAAGATATACTGTTGATCTTCTCATTGGTGCACACTGCAGTTGAAGGTGTGTGTGAACAGATTTAACTTATTTCTCCCTTATCTCCAATCTGAAGATCTTTCATGAGAAACTTTAAATAGATGATACACTTCAGGGTTTTAAATCTTGAGTTTAGTCTGGGTGGTCCACAGCAACAAAGATATTTAAAGGGGGTTCCATGGTAAAGAAAACTTTAAGAATTGCTGCAATATTACATTATCAATACTCCTACAAATGAGAAGAGCTGGAGCGGGGGACGCAGGAGAGGGATATTTTTCTATAGCCCTTGACATCTGTTACATATGTCATAAGTAGGTCATCATGCAGGTTTCATAGTTGTTTCTTAACATGTTCTTTTAATGTTAGAATTATTTCATTTGGCTACATTACCCAATTACGGAATACATTTTGACTGCCTCAGATATGAAGTGTGTATGCCAAGAATTTGGTGCACTGTAGGATTTTCTGTTTGTGATGTGTGGCCCTGTATAATAGCTAAGCACAAAAAACTAAATGTGTGCACTTCACCTTTGTAAAAAATAATATATAACATATCTGAGTACCCAAAATGTCTCGTATGAAATTGCCCTTGTCGGTTGTACCTGCAAGCATGTTCATGTACATGAAGGTTATTTGAAGATATGTCCTTTCTTGTAATTTTGACTTCAGAATGAAGAATTTGTACTTGTATTATATCTTACTTTCATTTACAATTAGTGTATAATAACTAAAGCTGTCTGGAAGGCATCTGTGTTTCTTCAAAGCCTGGGGTACAGTCTGAAGCCAAAAATGTTCATAGATTCTGTATACATTGTCTACATTTTTGTAGACCTTGTTTGGCGACTTTACCTTATACAAACCAGGTACATGTGGCCCTGGCATTTGAGCTAAACAAGACACTTTCCAGGTTTGATTATCTGGGGTGGAGGTGATTAACAAGCAGGGTGGGCTTGATCTAAATCAAATCAAACTGATTTAAAATTTAAATTGTGGTGGGGTGGAGGTGATTAACAAGCAGGGTGGCTTGATCTTAATCAAATCAAACTGATTTAAAATTTATATTATGGTTTAAAAACAGGATTTTTTGATGATTTAAATCAAAAAATATTTTTTTATTTAAATCATGATTTAAACTGGTAAAAACTGGATTTTTTGATGATTTAAATCAAAAAACAATTTTTTAAATTTAAATCATGATTTAAGCTGGGTTTTTTTAATAGTTGATTTTTATCAACCCTGCCAACAAGTTAGTATGTAGTAGCAGCTTGTAAGAGCTGTGGAACATAACTGTAGTAAGTACAGAAGAAATTTACTCATTTACTTCTCCCAACAATTTTTAATAAAAAAATCTTTTCATTCTCTTGAATAACTCATTTTTGACAGAAATAGGGTAATTAATTGCCAGAGGAAACTATTGAAACTATCACTGTTTGCAGACAGTGAAATACTCTCCTTTTTAATGATGTCTCTTAATATGTAGGACCTGACTTTAGATAGGTTTTACTCCCCTTGAGATAAACAATACTTCTTTATGCTCCGGCATTTCTTAGTAATTTTTGGCAACATTGGTAGTGCTTCATAATATGTGGAACTGCATGTGGTAAGAGTTACTTGTGAATGCTTTTCTTGGAGTGACGTATAGATTAGATTTAGTTTTCTTCCTTCCACTGTAATATTAATTTTTTTCTGTCAGTTCAATATTAACTTAGCCTTGATCACTGATGCTTCTTAGCATGCCTTACCTGTCCCTCATTCCCCCACCCATGATCCAAAATGGAACCCACCAAAGCCTTTGACTTTCCCCTAACATTCCTGGCCTTTTAAAGCCTCCTCAGGTCAGAACCACCAACTCAATCTGAAGATGTGCTCTGTGTCATGGAGCACATTAGGCTACCCGAAGGAGGCAAGATGGAAGACCCACTGATGTGGAAGAAACATTCCATTTTCTTGCATGTTTTTAAAAATTAGGCACTGAATGAAATGGATGGGTGTACATTTATTATGCATCACTGTGCTGATATTAAGTTTCACGTTCCTGTTACTCACTGATATCATGAGGCCCTCCCTTTCTTATTAAAAAAATGCACATTCCCGCTTACTCACTTATATCATGAGGCCATCCCTTTCTTATTAAAAAATGCATCAAAGGATGTGCTTCATGTAACACTCAAAAACCAATGAAAGAATGAAGTTGTGTTACCTTTAAAAGCTGTTTTAATTGCATATCTAAGACTGTAGCTTGTATCCTTATATCACTGTATAGTTGCTAATCTGTTCATTACTATTATATGCAGCAGGTTGTAGGCTAAATGAAATGAGATTTTTGGATGTTTTTTGGCAACTTTCTTTAGATTTTTTTTTTCAATAAGAAAGGAGATGAATTCATTGATGCTGGCAGAGGCATGGTTAACTCTTTCTGCCTGCAGATACCTATATTGTACCTGTCCCTTCTCATCCGCCATGTCTCCACGCCAAGCACTGCCCTGGCAGCAAGTCTAGAATGAGTTGAAACTGGGACAATTTTATTTAGTCAAATTTCCTTGGAGGTTAAGGTCCTTGGTGTAGGCCCTCCTTGCCTACACCAAAGCCATGATCCAGTTAAGGGTTCCTCTCAATTGCCCATAAGCTTTGAAAAAAATCAAGTGAGTGGATCACAGCTTGCCAGTTTCTTCCAGAGGGAACAGCAATGACAAATAT